CCATTCATTTCCAATGCGGTCATTTTTGTCCTCGAGGAGCACAAGTGTGACTATTTTTTTCAGGGCCATTTAACCTGTTCGAATCATGTCCAATGTTTTGTGTGTGTGTGTGTGTGTGTGTGTGTGTGTGTGTGTGTGTGTGTGTGTGTGTGTGTGTGTGTGTGTGTGTGTGTGTGTGTGTGTGTGTGTGTGTGTGTGTGTGTGTGTGTGTGTGTGTGTGTGTGTGTGTGTGTGTGTGTGTGTGTGTGTGTGTGTGTGTGTGTTCACATCACATAACAAGTGCTAAAACCTACCAAGTTTCGCACCAGAGGTTAATTTCATTGCATCAAATGGCCCCTTGTAGAGGAGCTATTTTATCTAAGCAATCAGACCTTGGCCTGGCAGACAATAAAACATGCGAGAGAAAAAAAAAGATTCACTGGAGTGACCCGAGGTGGGTGGGCTCTTTTGACTTCGGCCAGTTTGCAACCACCCAGAAAACCCAAGCATTGAGGTGGTGAGTTTTGTACAGGCACCATTAACGCTTTCTTCAGAAAATGCAGTCTAGATAGTAATTATTTGTGAGGGACCAGCATCCAAAAAAATGTCATATTCTAGTAACCACACTGGGTTTTATTTATTTTTTAAAGCAGGGTTATTATTGATTCTTCTTAACATAATTTTTTTTATTTTTGAACCACAATTACAGGACCGAATGCAAGAAGAAGAGAAAAGGTCGCCATATTTCCTTAGAAACCATATAGCATAAAAGATGTGAGAGGAGCAAAGTTTGCAGACTCAACTCTAGGGTGTTGTAATAGGTTATTAAGATTTTGCTACGTGGTTGTCAAGGTGTTGAGATATGACTAGTTTTTATTTCTCCACAGTTCGCCACACAAACAAACCCTGAACCCGAATTATGAGCAGTAAATAAAACACTGAATTCAAAGGTCAGATAAAAAAAAAAATACAAAACAGTTCCATAAAACATCCTACTTCTGTTATTGCTGATGTAGGGCGATTGACCCAGTAAATGTTCTTGTAAAGTAAAGAAACGAAAGCGAGTGATAAAGCAGGGCTGACAGAAAGCAATAACTCCATGCATGCATTCTTTCCCTGTGATAATGTCTGAGAGCAAATGACTGTGCAGAAAGGCGATTGGCTGGAGTGTGTAGTACACACACTGGATAGAGGTCAGATTCCTTGGTGGAGAAACGTAATATACCTTTGGACAAGAATCTTTTAATTACCTCTGTATAAACGGTGTGTGTTTGTGTGTGCAGTGCTCTCACGTAAGGTGTCTGCTCCTCAGATGTGCTGTGTCATCACAGAAGGACTTCTGAGCTCCGGCAGAAAGAGGGAGAGTTTCCTTCAGCTCTGACTCACAGTGAGGTCAGTACAGGAGCAGACTCTCTGATGAGTGTTTGAGTTTGTCTGGAGGTTAGGTTTTGTTTTGTTTACTGGTTGCGTGGTTTGGCCATATTAATAAAACGTAAATCTAAAAATAGCTTAACAGAGGGGTTTAATGAGGGAGGAGGTGCCCACGTCTTTCTGCTGTATCTCAAGCAGTCGACGAGACGAGAGTGTTATGAACTGTGATTGTATCCTGACTGGAACATTCTCGAGATTTACCTATAGTTAATTCCTTTTCTTTTTTTTAAACCCTATCCATCCATCCATCCATCCATCTGTCTATCTATATATGTCTATATCTGTCTGTCTGTCTGTCTGTCTGTCTGTCTGTCTGTCTGTCTGTCTGTCTGTCTGTCTGTCTGTCTGTCTGTCTGTCTGTCTATCTATCTATCTATCTATCTATCTATCTATCTATCTATCTATCTATCTATCTATCTATCTATCTATCTATCTATCTATCTATCTATCTATCTATCTATCTATCTGTCTATCTGTCTGTCTGTCTGTCTGTCTGTCTGTCTGTCTGTCTGTATACTACAGTATCTATCTATATGTCTGTCTGTCTATTTATCTATATATGTCTATATCTATCTATCTATCTATCTGTCTGTCTGTCTGTCTGTCTGTGTATCTGCTGTCTATTTATCTTTATATGTCTATATCTATCTTTCTGTCTATCTATCTATCTATCTATCTATCTGTCTGTCTGTCTGTATATTTACTGTCTATTTGTCTATATCTATCTATCTATCTGTCTGTCTGTCTGTCTGTGGATCTGCTGTCTATTTATCTATGTCTATATCTATCTGTCTGTCTGTCTGTCTGTCTACTGTCTATTTATCTATATATGTCTATATCTATCTATCTGTCTGTCTGTCTGTCTGTATATCTACTATCTATCTATCTATCTATCTATCTATCTATCTATCTATCTATCTATCTATCTATCTGTCTGTCTGTCTGTCTGTCTGTCTGTCTGTCTGTATATTTACGGTCTATTTATCTATATATGTCTATCTATCTATCTATCTATCTATCTATCTATCTATCTATCTATCTATCTATCTATCTATCTATCTATCTATCTATCTATCTATCTATCTATCTATCTATCTATCTATCTATCTATCTATCTATCTATCTGTCTGTCTGTCTGTCTGTGGATCTGCTGTCTATTTATCTATATATGTCTATATCTATCTATCTATCTGTCTGTCTGTCTGTCTGTATATCTACTGTCTATTTATCTATATGTATCTATCTATCTGTCTATCTATCTATCTATCTATCTATCTGTCTGTCTATCTGTCTGTCTGTCTGTATATCTACTATCTATCTGTCTGTCTGTCTGTCTGTATATCTACTGTCTATTTATCTATATGTCTCTATCTATCTATCTGTCTGTCTATCTGTCTGTCTGTCTGTCTGTCTGTCTGTCATGATTTCCTTCTATCATTCTAGATGTTTCACTACCTTTTTTTCTTGCCTCATTTATTCTCTTCTGCACTTTATTTGTATTTTTAGTATACTCTTGGGTTCTGTTACTAATTGAACTGTGTGACTTTAATTAAACATGTTAACGTTCACTTTAAAAACAAAGTTACAGTAGGTTTCTGTCATTCTTCTTTCTATGCCTCATAAGACTGCGCAGATTCTAATCTGTGGAAACAAACCGTCATCCACTTCTGGAACATATTCCAGAACTTTATGGCTGTATTTACTGCATGCCAGCTTCTGTGGAAGTCTTTATTGGGCATGATGTTCTTGTAGGAACACACAGCTCAGCTGCCAGTGAAAGGGCTTTTTAAGGGGGAATCCCTCTCAGGTGCCAGACAGCTCACTGGATTACTTTCTCTCTTTCTTTAGTTGACCATACTTTCTGCTAATAATATAATAAAAGGGTTTATATATTTATTAAAGTGCTTTTATAAAAATCAAGGTGGCTTTAGGATGCATGACAGATACAAGATAGTGAAACATGTAGGCCTAAGGGAAGGTTAGAAAGAGAAGCAGCAGAGAAACGAGCACAAAGTTGTCTTTCATTCAGTCTAATGTTTTCTGTTTTTCCGGTTTTCATTTTCCAAAACTTCACAACTGGCGTTCCTCTCCTAGCATCTTTCAAGTTTCATTTCCTCTGGTCTTTGTTCCTCCTTCAGATCTTCAAGTTCTGCTCTTCTTCTCTTTTCTCTTTGAGAAGGTGTTAAGTCTTACAGCTGGAGTTTTTTCTCACGTCATTACAGAAATTCTGCTGAAAGCACAAGTGAAAATGCAGTAATACAGGAAAGCTTTCATCAGTCCATAAACAAATAGAAGCTATTTTGTAAATCTAAAACAAGCAAGTGACTTCTAAAGAAAAATATGTGTTATGCTCTATTGTAGGCATATTTATATGACCTTTTGTGGTGTAAATGTTCAAATAATTTGAAACAAAAAAGTAGACTATTTCTTCTGTTCTTGGTTTAGTGCACGCACACTATTTTATTTATTTACATAAAACAGTGTAAATATAGCTGGAAAAAGGTGAAAAATGCAACCTTATTAATAATTCATGCCCAAGTGCATGATGATAACACAAGTATCAGAAAGTTGAGTAGGTTTTACTCAATTTTATTAGGCTGTATTTCTACACTTCAAGCTTAAATTGAGTTCTTATAGCCTTGAATTTTCATTGTTTTTTAAATTCTTGCCTGAACTAACTTAGGCCTATACATGGCATTTGTTTTTTTGCTGTAGTATTTAGCTACATCGCAGAATAATTTTGATCAGTCTATAATATAGGCCTATATTAAACATTCAGTGGTATCCTTCCGCTAAAAGATATAGTCCCTGATTTGACAGAATGTTGCTATATGCAAAAAGCCATCCGCTATGGCCTGCAGTGATTCCACTCGTAAACGGGTGTTTCAAAGTTTCGTCGTAGATATTATCGTTGGTTTTAGCTGTGGGCTATTAACCAATCAGAATGCAGGACCCGAACTGTTTTTTTTTTTTTTTTTTTTTTTTTTTTTTTTATACACAGTTTACACTTACAATAAGGTTTCATTAGTTAACAACGTTAGTTCAAATGAACTATGAACTGCACTTCTACAGCATTTATTAATATTTTGTGAATGTTACTTTCAAACATTAACTAATACATTATTAAAATCAAAAGTTGTATTTGTTAGCATTAGTTAATGCACTGTGAACTATAACATGAACAAACAATTAATGAACAGCTGGATTTAACTAGCGTTAACAAAGATTAACAAAATACAGGAACAAATGTATCGCTCATGGTTAGTGCATAGTTAATAGCCTAACTAATATTAACAAATGAACTTACTGTAAAGTGTTACTTACCGTTATTTTTAATGCACATATTGACCCAGTTACGACTCAAAACAGTTCACGTAGGCCTATATCACCGCGCAGAATCTAAAGAATAACGCTATTATTTTTTTTACGTGTCAGCATAGCTAGGATGAATGACGCTTAGTGAATTTGGTTCATATAACAACTTTTAATTAATGTCTGTTTACTTAATATGTTTGTTGTGGGCTATTATGAATGAAGAGTTTGATTAACACGATGCTTGTGCAGCTAAAGAGGTTGCAAGCGCGGCTATTAAGATTTTAACGAGGGCCCGTCAACCTCTTAATACAAACTTGAGGTTGGATTTCTTCAATAACGGGTTAAAGGGTTAAATTTCACATAAAGCTCCAGCCAACCGCCTCCTCGAGCGCTCATCGGTGATTACCGGAGCGCGAGGGGAGGCGCATATATTCCGCAGATCAGACGAGCTCGAGACGGCATTCAGTGCGCGAGCCCCAGAGAACAAGACCCAATCTGAGCTCTTTATTCATGGATACTAACCTGGGATTGTACTTTCACTGCATGACGACCTGCTTCTTAAAGATCCAGTGTTGAGCTCTTATATGAGGTGCATGGACTCGCTAATAAACTTTTGTGAAGAATTTCTCTTAGAGTTTTATTCTATAAATTGACCTAGGCAATGCAAAAGGGTTTCTGTCTTTGGATTGTTCAGGCTTGGACAGCCATGACGACCTTTTGCAAGCTAAATCACTTTTGAGATTCCTCACAGGACGTATTTGGACCAGCACCTGGAGTACCAGGACAGTTTGGATACTCCTCTATAGACTTGAGCTGGTGCTTCGGGTCATTTAAAGGGAGATCTCTTCAAGGTATGGTTCTGGACTCTTTGCGCTCAGGAGCGGTTCTAAGGCTCCTACAGTCTTCATCTTTCTTATCGGGTGGAAAATTGACATTGGAAGGAGATGAGAACCTTATTCTGCTGCTTTCTGCTCCTCACCTCGCACCTTCTGCTGGCAACTGCTGAGGTAAAGTGCCAAAGATCTCACTCAAACGGACACTTGTTATATCCACTGCACAGTTCTTGTCACACTGGTGCAGGTCAGAGTTTATATAATCCATGCACCTAATATATATTTGGCATATAGCTTTAAATTGAATCAGTCCCACGATGTCATTTTTTTTACAGTATTTTTCCTAATGAGGTTATTAATAAATTATTTCAGTTCATTGAATCTCAGCTCCATATCATTCTTTATTTTTTTTTATGGTATCAACTCAAAAATTGTGGTTGCGGGTGAACATGTGATAAGCAGATCAGCTGTTCTTGGAATATGTAAAGTAAAAAATATGTAAAGCGTTTATTTTTATTAGATTCTTTGAGAGTAATTGTACAAAATGAGTGCCTGTTTAATGGTACAAAACATTTCCATCATACAATTTTTTTTTTTTTACATATGATAATTGGGATAGCCTATTGATAAAAAAAAAGTAACAGGGTTGACTATTTTTGAGGGCTTTTCTAGTTCATTTAGCCATTACTGACCATGTGCACAAGCTGATATTTCTCCAAATGTCCACTTTTCAGTAAACAGCTGATTTACTACACAAAATCACGGTAACAGGGTTGACTATTGAAGATCGCCCCCTATTGACAAACATAACAAAAAATCTGATGAAATTATACAAAGAGGAGACGCTTGGTCGTAATTTATTCAAGACGCTGTCATTATAACTCATGCTTTTTTACGGCATTGTGCATCATTTTAATGAGGGATCATTTAGATATTGCCTAATAGTGTCAACCAAATTCTGAAGAAAAAATATAAATGTAAGGAGAATGTTTTTTATTTGATTTTATTTCCATGTAGGTTATATACTAATGTATAAAATGCAATACTTTATTTTTGTTGATGTGATAAGAAATGCCTATTCCGAATGACTGATTTATCAACTTTGAAGACTTTCATTGTATGCCACATTGCCACTGATGCACGTTTGTCAGTGCAACGCGTAGAAACAATCTTCGGTGTCATAACAGATTAGTCGAAATCAAACGCCGCATCTGATCTCTCTTTATGCCGGCAGAAGGAGTTTGCAATCCCTCAAGATTTCATCGACAGACTGTCCCACAGCGAAATCAACAGCATCAGCGACCTCCAGCGGCTACTGGAGGTAAATTCCCCAGGTAAATTCTGCTCATTGTCTTCTTGACACCTCAGTGGACTTTGTTCAGTAGCTAATCTCCTGGGCTCGACGGCAGGGTCTGTTTACAGGTGTTTGCTGTAGTTGCCGTGTGGCTTAAGTGTATCGGGCACATGTCACAAAGCCGTGAAGCTGTATTTTATGAGTGGCACAAAACAATTTAAAGGTATCGTTATACTGGCCAATGGGTGGAGGGTCATAAATAGTTCTTTACAGATTGCTTCTGTTTTTAGAGCAATGCATATGTCCGGGCTTACGTCACGGCGAATGGGAAGCCAAGTTTTCCTATACTTAAGCTGTCCGCAAGTGGTTTCATTTGCCCACTATAATTTCATTTACAGGCGAGTTACCGGTAATTACACAAACAAAAAAACCCCAAGACAGTATAATTTGGGGTGTTGGGGTACTTGCTTTCCTCCTCCTTCTGTGTCTTCTTCAGCCTTTTTTAGTTTGGATAATATTACAGTGATCACTAACACGAGCCGTCTCTGAGTTCACTTGAGCTGGTATTTACACAGGCACTCGCAATATATCAAATGGAGGTGCTCTTTTGAAGTTTGATATAAAATATCAGCTTTTAAAAACTTTTGGGCTATTTGGGCTTTTTGGCTCCGCTGTTGGTTTGAATTAGAAGTTATTTACATGCTATGTGGGTTAATCTCACCACACCTGTCAAGAACATGTCTGGGTCATATTTCATTCCGAAATGGAAAAAAAAGATTATTTTGCTATTTAAAAAAATATTATATATATATATATATATATATATATATTATATATATTTTATTTAATATAATTTGTTTTATTTATGAATTTTGCATGCATTCATGTCACTTCAGGAAAAACCCCTTGGTTAAGCACAGTTGAAATCAAAAATCCTGTAATGAAAATATAATGAGAATCACCATTTAGAATATGGGAACTGTAAAATCTTGAGATTATATATGCTAATGAAAATTTGTGCTTAATTATCATGATAATAATGTCCAAAACTAGGCCAATTTCTAAGTTTTTTTTCTTTTGATTTTTTTGGGTGAAATGTAATGAAATATATGATATATTAAATATGTGATAAATATATTATTAAATTAACAATTGTAAGATAAAATTCCTTATTTGCTATCATTAAATAATTCATTAATTATTTATTAAATAATAATTACTTATTCTATCTATCTATCTGTCTATCTATCTATCTATCTATCTATCTATCTATCTATCTATCTATCTATCTATCTATCTATCTATCTATCTATCTATCTATCTATCTATCTATCTATCTATCTTAATCTGTACCTTAAAACATTCAAGGTTTTAGCTTTAGTGCTCTAGTAATCTACATTCAACATAAATAGTCTGACTGACACCCAAAGACTAGTAAAAGATGCCTGACGCCACTGATGGTATCTTTTCAGATCTTTTAAAAGTCAAGACTGTTCAAAGCCGTCACATGTCAGCCAGAGAGAAAGAGAAAGACTTGGAATAGGTTGTTTTGATGTTCACTGAAATCTTAAAGTTTTCGTTTCTTGACCTTAACCACTCATGAACCACATGCGAAATCATTATAAAACGCATTTTGTCAGACTATCGATATTGTTGCTGTGAGTGTTTTCCTGTTTTCGGTTCATGATTAGTCTCATTTAGGAAGCAGTAGCGGGCTGTTATCCCTCAGATCAGAGCGCTAACCTCATCAACTGTCCACGCGAGGAGCGGATGATGAGAGGAGGAAGGCACAGATAGGCATCTCCCGCTAATGGACGGATAATTAGAGGTCGTGAAAGCAGTGACAGTGATTTAGGGAGGAAACGGTGTCTCTCTCTCGGCGAGGTCATGGCGCGTGACCCCTCCGCTCACCTGGAACAGACTGCACTTGTTCTGCGCCTCCCAGCAGACTTTTAACTTCTCAACATCCATCTGTCCGCCTCTCCTGTCGCTCGCGCTTTCACATAAGCAAGAAAGCGCCACAGATGGAGGGACGCGCTTTTGTTTGATGAAAGGACAGCTGTCAATCCGTGAAGAAGGGCTAATGTTGTCCTTTGTAATTCATTCAGAGAAAGCTCACAGAGAGAGAGAGAGAGAGAGAGAGAGATAGTTAGAAGCAGAGGGGTTTGATGATAGAGGCCTAGTGGTTAAAGATCTGCGCTGGTAATGCAAAGATTATAAGTTCAGAACCTGCAATTTACACAGTTACTGGAAGAATGCTTTCATCAGCATTGTGCAGTCGTGAGGAGGGAACACAAAAGTGTCTCGCTACTGGTTGATCGTCCCTGTAATTATTGCTCTTCAAGCTAATGTGGATAAAAATCACTTGGCAAATGATACTTGATGAAAATGTGTCAGTTTTACAAGGTTAGAGCGGAGAGGAGTTGAAGGAATAATAGACTTATGAATTAAGTCATACTTCTGTCATCATTTAACCACGCATTTGTCTTTCCAAACCTGTATGACTTACATTTCTGGAAGAATAAGTGATGAAAAAAACATTTGAAAAAATAGGCATATATATATTTAATATATACATATTCTCTCTCTCTCTCTCTCTCTCTCTCTCTCTCTCTCTCTCTCTCTCTCTCTCTCTCTCTCTCTCTCTCTCTCTCTCTCTCTCTCTCTCTCTCTCTCTCTATATATATATATATATATATATATATATATATAGAGGGAGAGAGAGAGAGAGAATATGTATATATTAAATATATTATTAAATATATTATATAGTAAATAAATGATAACTATATTATTAAATTGCACATTTTAAGATAAAATTCCATATTTGCTATCATTAAATAATTAATAAATGATTTAATAAATAATAATTAGGCTACTGATAGTATCTATCTATCTATCTATCTATCTATCTATCTATCTATCTATCTATCTGTCTATCTGTCTATCTGTCTATCTGTCTATCTATCTATCTATCTATCTATCTATCTATCTATCTATCTATCTATCTATCTATCTATCTATCTATCTATCTATCTATCTATCTATCTATCTATCTATCTATCCTGTCTGTCTGTCACTTTTAAATAAATTGTATATGACACTTTTGCAAGATTTGAATTGGATTAATAAAAATGTATATCTTTGTATTTATACCACTGACAAATCCAAATAAACCAAACAAATCCATATCAAAAGGTAAAAATGCATGAATAAATTTCAAGATTAAGTCAATATTCACTGAAAATCCCTCCAGCCTGGATCTCCAATCTCATTTGCTCATTCACATACGGGTTTGAAACAACATGAATCAACATTGTTCCATTTTCTTCCTCCACAACATTTCATAAAATGTTCATTTTTGGGTGACCTGTTCCTTTGAGCGTACTTGGACAGTAGTACTAGTAGCCTACTGTACTTTCTTCCATTCGGCCGTCTTGTGTTTTTGAGTTTGAGAGAACAAAGTTCTTGAGTTTGACATCATAACACTGAGTTTTGATCTGAACATGAGATAAGGTGTGTTGTGCAGGATCAAATGCTGAACTCTCTCTCTCTGCGGGTCAGCGCTTACTCTTTGACTGAGTCTGAAAAACAACTTAAAAACAATGGCCTTCCATTTGGTAGGAAAGATGAGACGGACTGAGACACAGAACAGAGTGGGGCTTTTGTACACATGTCACTTGTGTTTCCTGCTTCAGGACTGTGTGTGTGGTCATGCAGTCTTTTAAGTTCAGAGAGTGTGTTTGGGTGCTGTGCTCTCTCAGCATTCCTGACGGTCCCACCCTCGTCGCTCAGAGCTGGGCGCAGTCCTTCTGCCCGTCACACATTAGTCAGTTTGATGTTTAACTGCATTGTATACTTGGCTAAACTAAACCAAGCTAAAATATAGAACAATATCAGATAACGATCAACCAGGGTTATTATAGTTTTCTGTAGTGTATATATTGTTAATTATATATATACATACATACAGTATGCATGTAGAGTATAGTGTATGTGTATATATATATATTTCATTTTTATTTTTTGTTTGTTTTAATATTCACAAACAATTTATGCATTATATAAATATAAATAGCACTTTTAATCTATATGTGCAATAATTTTACAGTATGCATATAAGTATATATTTTTTCTTTAATTTTTTATTTGTTTTAATTGTTCACAAATAATGTATGCATTATATGCCAAATTTATATTAAATATAAATTATATATATATATTTATTATGTCTTTTTTTTCTTCAGGAGTTAATTTTTTTCATACCTCATACCACACAGCACCACTTATGACACTTTATAATAAAATGCAACTAGTGAACTGTCGTTATTTGTTTACATGTCAATCAGACTTTTGACAAAATATATCATATAACATATATCATATCATAAATATGCTTTCAGTCCCTGAATGTCCGCTCAAAGTGCAACTAGATGTATAGGAATAAAGGAAATTACGTCATGTTTCAGAGGACACGCTTGATGCTCAAACGATTTCGAAATCAAAATAATGATCTTCTCGTTTTTTCTTTTTTAATGTACCAATCTCTTAATCGTTATGTCACGCATGATTTTAAACCTTATTATTAATGTGAACCTTTCGTAAGCACAATGAATCGTTTAAACAGCAGCACTTAATAACTGAACTGATTTTGTATTTAGTAGTCCCACAGTCCCTCCTCTTCTTTAAATAGCGTAAAATGGCTGTCTTACTCATCCGTACCAGTGGCAAAACCACTGAGGTTGTCAGGAGTTCAGATTTTTTCTTTGGGCTTGTCAGTGGTACATAAGACATTATAATAAACTTGGCAACCGCATTCAGGGCCAATATGACATGGTTCCTCCAGAAATCCATCGTGATGAATTTCCAATTAAGCTCGTGAATAAAGCAGCCATTGTTTGTGGAAAAATGAGTTTCTGAAGAAGGAAATTATTTCATGCTTTGGTGCCACTCACGGCAGTGCCATTTCGCCTCGAAAAGGCTGCAGGGCATCTACTGGAGACTTTCAATAGCCTCATTGTGGATTGATCTTGGCTTTAAAAGGGGGGAAAGTGATTTGTCTTTTTGGCTGAGTAACATGAAAGTTAATATGGATAACCTGTGTTTTGATGAGGTCCTGGAAATGAGGTGATCGAGGAGGTCAAACAGAAGCACCACCAGAAGAACCATCACTCATATAAGGCCGGTTCCTCAGATCTCAAGAGTCTGCAGCTGTCCCACAGACGGAAGAGGAGTGTCGGTAAGACAAACCTTCAGTTTAAGAAGTATTTCATCAATTAGTAGGCCTAGTTCTTGCTGTGTAATCGGATATGATCAATTCTGCAGTTGCTTGGCATCCATAAACAGTTCATGAACTTGGCAGAACGTTTGTTGATATATGGTTTTACTATTGCCATGGTACAACTTTAGCAGGCCTTGCATTTGTGTATAGCATTTAACTAAAAACTATTAAGAACAGCTTATCAACCAACAGCCTGGGAACAATAATCTGGCACCAAACATCCTCGTGGCAGCACATTTTTGCATGGGAAAGTGTATTACTACAAAAGTTTGGGTGTCATGAAGATGTTTTAATGCTTTTGATTGGTGCAATTTAAATTTTCAGCACTTAGAAAGCAGAGCATGTCAGTTGTATTCAGGAAATCATAATGATTGGAGGGCACCTCTTTATTTGATTGTACGTGAGAGTATTTTGATTGGTGATACACAAACGTATCCGAGCCAGGAAATTCCAAACATTCAGAGTTCATGTCACAGCTCGCTGAACTGAACAGAGTTCACACTGGCACATAGAGCTCTGACATCCACTCTTCCTTCCCTTTCACATCAATCGTGGAGTGCAGCGGTGTGTGTGTGCCTTTGTGTGCCGGGATATTTCGGCCCCTCTGTACCTCCCAATCACTCAGTCAAACGCACAGAAAAACTGTTACGGCCTCAGAATAGCTGTGTGCCATTTTGGTTACAACAGTTGCTCTGAGTCTAAACCTCAGATCGAACGCCGATCTCAGTGCCCTGGTCTTATTTTGGGTTAGGTAAATATTAAAAACCCTCTTTAATATTTGCCACTCTTGCAGTTTTAAGGGGCCTTTTTGTTTAGCTGGATGGCATCAGTTACAGAGAAGCTTTGGTGGTGTATACTTTATAAATGTATTCGTTTTTTAATCATTTGTTCCTTTATTCATCTTCTGAATGGACGTTCAGTTGATTGTATAGCAAGATCCATATATTATATACAAGTTATCAGTTATATACGGTATATTATATAACTGGACAAAATGGTAATGCCATGTTACTGAATACCATTTTCTTTTTAATTATTCTTTTTTATTTTTATTTTAGTTTGCTGTGATTATGCTTGAGCTAATTGATAAAGTAATATCTTTATTCTAGGATATTAACTTCTCCATGCATCCTCATTTCTTGTGTTCAGTAGAGGAGGCGGTACCCGCCATGTGCAAGACACGGACAGTGATCCACGAGATCCCCCGCAGTCAAGTGGATCCCACCGCTGCAAACTTCCTAATATGGCCTCCGTGCGTGGAGGTGAAACGCTGTACAGGCTGCTGCAACACAGGCAACATGCGCTGTCACCCCTCCAAAAAACATCACCGTACTGTCAAGGTAAAAGCACTGCATCCCGAGTCCTGTGAAGTCATATTTCAGCACTATGGGGTTGATGTTGACATTATATCTTAAAGGATTAGTTTCACATTTCAGAATGAAAATTCTGTCATCATTTACTCACCCTCTAGTTGTTCCAACCCTGTATGAGTTTCTTTCTTCTGCTGAACACAAAAAAAGATATTTTGAAGAATGTCGGTAACCACACAGTTGATGGACCCCATTGACTTCCATAGTATTTCTTTTTTCAACTTGAGGGTAAATGACGACAGAATTTTCATTTTGAAGTGAACTATTTCTTTAAGCATCAAGACTCCTGGGGCCGTATTCACAAAGAATTTTATCTTACCACTAGGAGTACTCCTAAATCGCACTAAAATATTTTAGCAAGGAGTTTTCTCTTAAAAGTTATTCACAACGCCTTTCAGATCTACTCTTAGTAAGGAAAAATGACAACTCCTAAACTAAGAGTGAGTCTTCGTTGCTATGGATGACGTCACTTCTCATGCACGAGCTTCCTTGCAATGATCACGGTGATTGGTTGTTAGATGACAGGGCCATCATGCGGAACATAACACAGACGCAACAAATCATGGAATTACGACATCTAAATATGTCTGTGTCCTACACAAAATAATAATAGTAATGTCATCGAAATGCATATATAATGACATGTTTGTGCAGGCCCCAGTGAAGTGTAATTCTAAAAAGACAAAGAGAGAGAGTAAAAGTCGTGAATTAAATTAAATTAAATCAAGGTAGCCTAATACCCTAATGAAAACCGCCACTTGCCTAATAATGAAAAACGACACTTGCATTAACACTTTGCATTAACACATTAATTGACATCCTATTAGCCTAAATAGACTACTTAAAGCAAGGAAATGTTGCTCCTATTGAATTAATGTAATAGTTGAATGATGGTGGATTATGAACTCGCCAAAATGGAAAAGAAAGCCCAACTGGACGCAGGATCAGTTACTGCTGCTGGCCCAGTTGGTGCTGAAAAAAAAAATAATAAAAGGGAAATTCGGCACTGGGATATCAAGCAAAACTAAGCGTGAGACATGGGAGAGGATTTGTTTGCAGATCAATGCAGCGTTCCCGCTTGTGTCGCGGACGCCGGACGACTGCGAGAGGCGGTGGTATGCGCTACAATCCTTCGTGAATAGGTCTTAATGAGTTAGGAGTCCTCTCGACTTCTTTTAAGCTGTCCCAGACTTAGGTGCTACTTTTAGGGCTAAAATGCTTCGTGAATTACTCTTAGTGAAAAAAATTAGGAGTCCTAAAGTTAGGAGTGACACGCCCATTATTTTTAGGAGTTGCTCCTAAATTCGCCAGTTAGGAGCTACTTTTAGCCTTAAAATTCTTTGTGAATACGGCCCCAGATGTGCAATAAAATATTTTATTTGTTGTTTATTTATTAGACAACTGTATATTTGGTCAAACTCCAGCCATCTTAGATGCAGGACAAGTGGTACAACATATCACCCACAGAAATATCAGGACACACCCACTCCAAGCCACACCCCCTTTTAGTCCCACTTAAAGTCAGCATGAAATGGCAGGTGCTGTAGTATTCTCTTCCCTATTGTGACATATAAATGAATGAAACCGCTTCTCGCACAAGAAAACATGTAGGGCTGGACTTGATTTTGTCCATATGGAATTGGTTGGATGGTTGTGGTTTGCTATTGGTGGATCTCATGTGAGTGACAGGTTGCTCCGCCCTCGCGTCAGTAAATACATCATCAGAGAAGAGCTGCAAGTGAGTTTCTTGAGCATCAAATCATCATTGATTTCTGAAGGATCATGTGACACTGAAGACTAGAGTAATGATGCTAAAAATTCAGCTTTTTCATTGCAGGAATAAATGACATTTCAAAACATAAAAATAGGAAATTGTTATTTTAAATTGTAATAATATTTCACAAATTTACAATTTTATTTTTCATCAAGTAATTGCAGCCTTGGTGAGCATAAGAGACTTCTTTAAAAAACATTACAAAATTCTTACCAAAGTGCTTTTGAATGGCGGTGAAAATGTTTTGAAACATTTATTCATAATTCACAATCTTCTTAATGGAGGTTCAGTTGATTGAATAGCACTATCCATTTTTTTTTCCACATAAAATGAATACAGATGTTAGTCTTGTAAGGTTTTTTTCCAGCACCTAGCACAGGGATGGGTCGAGAATATATTATGTGTGTTTCTTTCCAGCTATGGCTGTATATATTTGAGCAAATGCCCTTAAGAGATATATTTACCCTTCTCTTACTTTTTCCTTCTCATCCTAAAAAAGGAGCAGGTCTGCACAAGCTACCGCTGTTCAGAGCCGTGATATAAAAAAGACAGACTGTAAATAGGCCTCAGTGTGTGTGTGTGTGCTTTGCCACATTTCTGCTGTACTTTGGTTCATTGCAGTGATAAGCTTGTTTCAAAGGAAACACTGCTGGGTGTGGAACATAACACCAGATAATGAGTCTATCAACACTTACTGGAGTTAAACTTTACCTAGTCTGTCTGTCTGTCTGTCTTTTGCTACTTTTTTTTCTTGCTGCATGTTCTTCTCTTTTGCAATCCTTTTATCTTTCTTCATGTATTCTCTGGCATTTAGCCCGTCTCCCTCTCTCTTTCACAGTAGTGATTGAGCTGTTACGTAAAGTGTAACAGGAGTTGATAGCTGCTCTTTCTTCTTCTTACCAGCACAGCATATTCTTCTGATGGATTCTGTTCAAGTCTTTCACCTAAAGTTGCTTTAAGGCAAGTCGGGTCACACATCAGCCATTCTTGTCATGCTAGTACAGCTCCAATCTGCTTGAGTTGGAACTGAAATCTCCAAACCTGTTGGCAAAGATTTTGTTTCAGTAACAGATGTCAAAACAGCAATAAAATATGACATACATATTTCAGCTTTAGTTCAAATCAGGCTAAAATTGGCGGGTGGATCTTCAGCACATGCTTCTATCAAAAAGACATTTGGACCTTTTAACTTCCATTCTGGCGAAATATTAAGTAATACGTTTCCTCCTGTTCAGTTCACATTTGTCCATTTCCTTGTTTTGTACAGTCTCTTTCACCTCAGTTCCCCTCCTCTCTCTCTTCTACAGTCCTGGTGTTACGCTACTAATGGTTTTACCAGAACTGCTGTGTTGCAGTTTGTGTCTATTAGCCTTGCTAAAACACACACACACACACACTCGCATGCAAACATCATCACACATTACTACAACAGGTGCTGCAGTGGAGTACTGGGGGAGGGGAGAGGAGCTGGAGCCCAGACAGAATAAACCTCATTTTATAGTGAGGAGAATCAGATCTATGGAAGCTCGTTTCCGCCACAGAATAAAAAAATAAAAAGGTAAAAAGGTAATTGTGACTTTTATCTCACAATTCTGACTTTTTTTCCTCACAATTGTGAGTTTGCATCTCGCAATTCTGAACGCAAGTCATTCTGAACGTGATATAAAGTCGCAATTGCAAGTTATAAAGTCAGAATGATGTGTTATAAAGTCAGAATTGTGAGATATAAATTCGCAATTACAATTCTGACTCTTTTTTTTCTCAGAATTTAATATTTCTCGTAATTTTGACTTTATAATACGCAATTGGGAGATATAAAGTCAGAATTGTGTGATTTAAAGATGCAATTGCGTGTTAAAAAACTTTATATCAATTCCGAGAAAAGATGTCAGAATTGCGAGATATAAACTCGCAATTGCGAGAAAAAAAGTCAGAATTGCAAGTTTACTTCATAACATGCAATTGCGGCTTTATATTACGCAATTATGAGATAAAAAGTCGCAATTACTGTATCTTTGAAAATAATTTATTCTGAGGCGGAAACAAGCTTCCATAGTGATCAGACCTGCAGTGTGAGAGAAAGGCCACATTTAAACATCGGTTAACACAGCAGAAAGCTGAAAGGGACATATCATGAAAAACAGGACTGATATTTGATGTAGACTAGTACTTTAACTTAAAAAAGTACTGCCACAATTTCAGTGGCCCTAGAGGGATAGTTTTTAAACAACAAAATATTGTTTTAGGCCCACTGAAATCAAACTTTTAAAGTTCATGCACTTTAAACACACTTACTGTCTCCACTCCCAGAGCCGCCACATCACATCGCTGCTCATTTGCATGAAGTTGACCTCTGCTCAATGGTCACGTTGCCTCAAATTAGCAAGCATCGAATGACTTAATTTTTCCAATTGTTTTGTCGCTGAATTATATATTTTAAGGTACAGTAGCAAACACAGTGGGTGATAAAAATGGTTGTTAAAAACAAAATTATGACTGTTTAATGGTGATTTTAGGTCAGGAAAAGATTGGAATGACATGAGTGTGAGTTAAAGATGACAGACGTTTTGTTATTTCATTGTGCTTTTAGTCTCTTCTTGGTGTGTCTTTATGTGGTTTTCTGGGAGGTTTTGAGGTTTCGTATCAATCCATCTCTAAATCAGCATACCTGAACTCAAACTGAGCAAATTGGAAAACGTATCCTTATCCATCAACAATGAAAAAGGCAGCGGGAGTTTCCTTGAAGTAGGAATATCTAGATAGGCATCTGAGGAGCGCATGGGTGCTGTTTATTTTATTTTCATCGCTGGTTAATCAGACTGCTAAAGTTACTAAATCCGGCACACCGCTGTTCTTTCCTAATCAAGAGACTAAGTGAGGATATTCCTGATTTGGAATGTTTGCAAGTGAGTGCAAGAATACAGCATGTGATGTGGTTCAAAAGGTGAGTGTTTATGTGTTTGGATGAGCCGGATTTGGATCCCTCCTTCAGAGGTTGGTATGAAGGGAAATCATACATGGTTTATTCTGGCAGGGGAAGCATGCGATGTGTTCCGAGTGTTGATTTTGGGTATTAAAGAGCCTCAAATGGCCCAGGTTAGTGAGGATACGGGCCTCATCTCGGACGCAAACGCAGAGGAAACACAAATAGTGCTAATTCGAATGAACGTGGTATTAATATAGAAAATGAAAAGAGCAGACTATTCCAAAAGACCCTGTTGTATCAGAGTGGAAAGGTTGATGTATCTGACAAAGACTGAACAACATAGCTCTGTTTTCAGGGATACATTTACAGTAAGCTAATTTTTAACAGTGTTTCATACATCTTTCTGTGAAGTTATGTAATAATATATAATCTATAAATTGACAAAAGCATGCAGTTTTTAATTTTAAAGTCTATTTCTTTGCATTGAAAAAATGTAAGATGCAAAATGATGTTTACAGTAATGCACTTACAGTACAATGGAAGTCTATGGACATTGTAGAGGGTTTGAAAAAGATTATTGAAATACTTAAATTAATTCCTCCATAAAATATGTAAATATTACTTTTAGTGGTGGACCCTTAGGTTATGTCATCGATGCCATTTTTCTCCATGTATGCATATTTTCTCTATGTAAACAGGCCATTCTGGCATATCATGTAAATGTTGTTTACCAACTTTACATGGTCATGAAGTTAAAATATAGGATATAACTACATATATATATATACATATATTGTATATATAATACAATTCTCTCTCTCTCTCTCGTTTGTTTTTGTTTGCATGTGGGCTGTAATTGCCGTCACATCTATAGTGTTCTTTCCATCTTTTCACTCTCTGGCTCTCTGGGCTATGACAGGAAGTGCACAGATTAGATCACCTTTTCTCCTTATCTTCGTGATTGTCTGAGTGCCAGTGTGTGTGTTTTACAGCAGAGATTTCACCCACTCTTTCTGTAACTCTAGACATGCAGGTCATGAGATAAAAGTTTCCCTTATCCCCCCCCCCCCCCCCCCCCCCAGCATCCCTTGTTCCTGTTCAGGCCTCTCTTTGTCACTCACTCAATAAGAACGATTGCTCCCCACACCCCTCTTTCTTTTCGGGTCGCCCCACCAGTCGACTGCCTGCCATCGGACCCCCGCTCTTTCCGCGGCTCTCGGTTTCGCTTTATCCGCAGCGTTTTGTCGTCAGATTTACCCACTGACAGATGTGCAGCAAAACTGCCTGTCCCCTGGCTACGTTGTCCATTTCCCTTTGTTCCCATGCTAATTACCCATGATGCACCTCTCCTGATGCCCGTTCTTTCTCTCACTCTTTCTTTATCGACCTTTCTTGCGGGGAAATCCCAATGCCAATTATCCGGACCCTGGACAATAGTCCTCACAGAGCTCAGGAGCGAGTCAGAGGGGGTTGGGGTTGCTGGAGCCGGGGCCGGATCAGATGTCACACCATTAGTGCGCTGCGCTGGGATTTCGCAGGGCTTTCATTGCGGCGTAAAGCACAGTGGTTTATAAATAGAGCTTGGAAGGGCCTCCTGAGAAACTTGGGGCTTTTTATAAAGCACATTCGAGTATGTGGGCGAGCGCATGTGTGAAGTTCAGGCATAGTCACTGTGGACTTCAAACCGAGATGCAAAGGCAATGATAAATTGAATTTGAATGGAAATATTGGGGCGGGGGCAGCAAAGGATGATGTGGGGACTCTTTTTTTCTTGTTATGACCCTTTCCTGAACCCCTTACCCAACCCCCCGACTGGTTCTCAAGCCCCTCAGTGTCTGTCTCACCCATCATCCTCCGTCGCAGAACATTCTTGCACGCCACGGGCTGTTTTAGACTTGGCTCTGTAAATATAACCAAGCGCAAGAATGTCCAAGAGGAGGGAGAGGTGGGCAGCAGACAGAGGGAAAGAGGCATAAACCAGTAACCCGGTGGACAGAGCGACCGAAACTGGCCTGTCTCACTGTCTCTCGCTCCCCACCTTCATTTTGACGCTCTGTATGTTTCTCTATAGGTTTGTAGGAGTTTCCAAGTGTTGCGTCATTTGTTCCATGATGTTAAACCAATTGCACTTGCACGGTAGACTGAGTTTTTATTTGCACTTGGAGCGTCATGCATTTAGTGATTGAGTTTGAAGCCAGAAAAATACGCACACAAATGCAAACCTGAATGCTTAGCCAACCCATTGCAAATGCTCTGTCCTTTTCTGCACACTCAATGTGTATGTGGACATATTACCTTTTATTTTTTACCAAATGTGCGTTCATTTATGTCTCACTTCTTACAAACTGGTCATTGAAGAAGCTCTTTGCTAAAAAGCTCTTCTTACATATTGTATATGTCAGCTTTCTTTTTAGATATGTCAGCAAATAAGCTCGCAGTAGCTCTGATGAGATTATCGTGGTTAAGATTAACACTTTCTCCAGTTCTGAATGCTCCAACTGGGCAGTGTGCATGAGCTGCAGCCTGGTTCAGAATACATATAATGCGCATGTAAACGAATATGTCAGCCAGATTACAACGTTTAGGGCAGGGTTCCTCAAATCCAGCCCTGGAGTGCCACTGCCCCGTAGAGTTTAGATCTAACCCTAATCAAAGACACCTAAGCAAGCTAATCAAGGTCTTCAGAGATACTATATGTAGGTGAGTTTAATCAGGTTTTGGGATAAATTATGTAGGGTAGTGGCCCTCTAGGGTTGGATTTGAGGAACCTCATCTCCTCTCTTGCTCCATCAGGAACGACCTAGGAAGTGGCCGAACTACCACAGTAAGGCACATTAGTTCTGTTTATATAAACCCCAGTACCATTCCTCACCGCACTACAGAACCTCTTTAACAAACCCATAAAACCAAACTTCTACCAAATTAAGTGGAATTCCCTTCTAAAAAAGATTAGCTTAGAGGTGATTCACACAGAACGTGATTTTTTTTTTTTTTTAAAAAGAGGCGTAATGGGAAAAAACGCAATGAAACTGAACTTCTTTTAACTTGAGTGCCACGTTTTGTAAAATGGAAAAGCAGCGCAGTGGAATGCAGAAACACGTTCTGTGTAAACGCCACCTTAGACCAGCATTGATTAAAAAACTAGCAGAATAGGTCTAAACCTGGGGTGTTCAAACTCGTTCATTCATCTGGAGGGTCGCTGTCCTGCTGAGTTTAGCCTCAAAACAACTGCCTTGAAGTTTCTAGTATACCTTGTAAGACCTTGATTAGCTGGTTCAGGTGTGTTTAATTGGGGTTGGAGCTAAACTTTGCAGGACAGTGGCTTTCCAAGAGCAGGATTGGACACCCCCTGTCTAAACATATACCCACCCACCATGAATATGGTCAGCCAAGCATTAGCAGAACAATGATAAGGAATATAGGCCCAAGCGTTAAAATTAGCACAACAAAAGACACGAGTCGACCCCTGTCTAAGGCTGTGTGGTTATTTTGAGTTTAGTGTGCTGCAGTGGGGCTTTAACTATGCAACATGTAACTGTTTTGGGCATATTGCCCAGAAATTGTTCTACATATTTTTTCACTGTTTCCGCCATTTGGCAGTGTTAGCTGAGCTAACTGGTCATGTTGTACCCTGTCAGTTAAGAATCTGTGCTGCTAAAACATCAAATCTGAATACCATTGATAATTATGCATGGCAAAGGTATATACGTTTTTCGAAGTTAAAGCTCCAGTCCGTAACTTTTCCTCTTTGTCGCCATCTGTCTGATCGAAATCTGTAACTGCAGTGATTCGCGGAATTATCATCTTTACGTGGGTTGTAAATCGGCATGAAACAGCGCGGATGAACACAGTGCTTTGAGGCGAGTGCTGCTGTCAGTCACCGCGCTGTGTGGATAGCCTACTGTCATACAGAATCACAGATTCACTTTTTGAAAGTTTGACCAACATAAGAATTTTCATAAGAAAATGTCTTCTGAACAAGTATAACATCCATTTTTGTTCTGACCAACTAAGGGGGAAAAAGCATTCGACATGATAAGCTTCGTTAGATTTAATCAACGCGATTTACAGCAACCGTGCAAATTATAGCCTACTTTGTTCTCAAATTCATGTTAACAACATCACATCAGCATAGCGTGACTAATGTTAAATTTAATGTGTTTTATGGTTACCTGTGTAGTTCAGAATTCATATTCTCCATAATAGCAAAACGAGAAAGGCACAACAAAGGAAACTCCATAACTGTGTGAATTAAGAAAACGTACTGTTACACGATTGAACTATTGAAATGTCTTACTTGTTCAGCAGAAAAAAGCCGTCTCTTTTTCCGTTTTGAACCCCTTCAAAACACGGAGTTCACGCACTTTTCAAAAGCCCCGCCGATGTTTAATCCTTGTGTTCGCATGAGACGGTTTCTTTCTCTTTCGCTAGCCACCTTAAATCCGAAGTACGAAGTCTTTTGGGTTTTATAACTGCTGAATCTCCAGTTGACACTGATGATTGTTGTTTGGATCTCTCTGGATGCCATAAGTTTAATCATGTAAAGTGCTGCGAGAAAAGCCTATACATCTAAACATCTCGTCACGCGCAGTATAGCCGAAGGAGCCGAAACTCCTTCTTTATGTGTACGGGTGTGACGTCATGACGCAAAGACATGCTCGAATTTCCCGCGGAAACCCACCAGTACCACTGGAATTAAAATCATTATTACAAGCTAACCGTTTTGAATCTAGCCATGGCAAGCAGATAGTTTTGACCACTGGCAGAATAAGTTTTTTTTTATATAATTATTTTGGATTATTTTTAACTTAAAAAAGTTACGGACTGGAGCTTTAAAAAATCGGCATACAGAGCTGACATGATAACCCGGTTTTTCTCTCTTCTTCCAGGTGGCGAAGGTAGAGTTTTCATCGCGTAAGAAAGCGAAATTGAAGGAGGTGCTTGTCCGGTTAGAGGATCACCTGGAATGCGTGTGCACGTCACAGCATCATGTGATGGAGCACGTGGAAGCAGACGCAGGTATACATGTCATGCATACATACACAGAATGTTTAGCCTGATCTTTGAATGACTGTTTGGCGATGAAGTGTGCACTCAGCGGCCTGTGGCATTGTGCTGTTACCACAGACAAACACACCTGTTGGTCAGTCTGCTATTGCAAAACGTCAATGTTTGCGTGAGCTTGTGTTTTACTGTGCTGGCCAATGATGCAATTGAATGGATAAGAAAGGCAACAGGTGTGTGCGAATGCTGAAGCACGTAGACGTGTGTCTGAGGTTTCTCCTTCAGGTTCAACAGGTTTCTGCTTTCTTGTGCCGAGATAAAAGGGTTGGAAGCTCATAAGGCTCAAATATTTATGAAGTGCAATTACAGTCTGTTTTACACCTCCCCGAGGCCATAAATTCTTTCTTTCTTTCTTTCTTTCTTTCTTTCTTTCTTTCTTTCTTTCTTTCTTTCTTTCTTTCTTTCTTTCTTTCTTTCTTTCTTTCTTTCTTTTCTACTCAACCAATCTCTGCCCATCATCTGCTTGAACTCTTCCCCAAACTTGTGTTTCCAGGCCCACTCACAGTTAAAAACGGTAAAAAACGGAAACACAGAAAGCATGCAGTGGCAGCACAGATCAACAAGGATATTCAATAAAAGTCAAACATTTCCTTACACTTCGCGGACCAAAATATCCTGCAGGTAGGACAGCTGTAGGCAGAACCGCTGCCACTTCTCAACCAATCATTAGCATGATCCAATCAGGAGAACGAGAGAGACGTCCAATCAGAGTCACGCAACACTGAACTAGAGAGACGTTTGCACTGTGCTGTTTTCGCTTTGCTGCATGTGTCACGGGTTTGTCTGTTTGATGCAACTTATTTCATGAAATCAAATTGTGTTCACCATCTATATAATTTAGCTCTGTTCTAAAACCAAGTGAGCTGCCTTGCTGTCTTTTGCCTACTTAGCCAGATACCTTCTAAGGCGTCATCGTAACTGAAATGGAAGTGACTTCTTTTGGAAAGCTTTTCATAGACAGCCACTAGCATAGCCCTTTTTTTTAAAGACACATTAGCAGTGAATTAAATAAAAGTACTTTGCTTTGTTTGGGATTACTTTCTTTGTGAAGGATCAAATAAAGCGTCATATGGTTTTTGAAACCATTTTCATATCTTTTGAAACAGCCATATTTCAGCAGTGTGTCTATGATGCCAAAAAATGCTGTCTAGCTAGGCAGCTCACTAGGTTTTTGGAAAAGAGTTTGCGTGTTTGTGTATGAAAATGTGTGGATTGATGGTTTGGTGAACTTGATCACAAAGATTGTGTCTTTCACATTGGTCTTTCTTTCTTAAATGTGCACAGACTGCCTGATAACCCACATTAAAATCACTGTGTGGTGGATATGTGTCACCCAAACACAAACCGCATGTCTTACTAAGGAAAAAATCACAGTCAAATAACTTTAAATCTGCACCAGATTTAATAATAAAAAAAAGCAATTGCTTGTTGACAGCTGTTTTGTTTTCTTTCTCTCCCTCCAGTGGACATGAGGTGAAACCACATCATACGAGCGATTGAAAGACAACAGTGGCTACGTAAAGCTTCGGGGGACTTCGACCTCTGAATTCTGACCCTACTGACCCCATTGCTGTTCAAAAAAAGATACTGTTTCCAGAGGAACATTGTACACAAACACAACACCAAAGGTGCTTTCTATGTACTCTGTCAAACACTGAAGACAAACAAGATTGGTATTCAGTTAATTATTAAGTGGTCAAACACTGGGCAGAACTAAAACTGAAAAGGAACGATGTTTGTGTCGTCTCTCTGTTGTTTATGTACACAACTCTCGTAAAGGTCAAAGATGAGGAGAAAGTCTTTTGGAGAACACTAAGCAGAGACCATGAACCTCACATGCTTGGGTTTGGATGCACTCAAGCAGGAGTCCTCGAAGGATGAACTAACTCAGTGGACTCCAGTCATTCAAAAAGAGGAAGAACATAAGGGATGTACTGTCATATAATCTTGCTAAAGTGGAAGACGCTATTTTCTGTTATTCTCTACCTTAGTCCTCTTGGGTCCAGAACATTTGAACTGCTATTTCCAACGTGCCTCTAGAAAGCTCTGTCCTTCCGAAGATTTCAACTGCCTGTCCATGAACAAAGACTTACAGAAGGCAGTGTTTGCAGTCATTATGCCAGAATAAAGTATTTATGTACGCGATCTCTCCTTCTCACCCTCTCCGTTTCTCAGTCCAATGTGAGAGGAGCTCATGTTCTTTGATCTGCAATTATTAGCAGTATCATTTTCTCAATATATCATTTCAATCTTGCTTATAATTTACAGCATATCTCGAAACTAGGTTTTTGTCCTGGAAATATGTGTCATGGGAAGACATGTGCAAGAGATAGTTGTGGAAAGATGCTTTATTTTTGTTAAAATATATTTATAATGCTAATGTAGAATCAAGCAGGAAGTATGTTTATGTATTCAGTTATTGTGGTGTAATGGTTGTGTGATGGGACGAGATGACCCTATGCTACTCAGTATCAACAGGTTGGCCATCACACATGACTGGTGGCAGTCATAAGATGTTAGCTCATAATTTCCTCCTTTACTCGCCGTAACACAATAGTTAATGCTAACATACAAACATAGACAAGGGTCATTCAAATAACCAATAAACACTTACCTTAGGTATGAAGCTTTGTAATAAATAAACAGATCAAAAAAAGAAAGAAAATACAGAGTACATTTCTATCATATTCACACACTGAAGACACCAGAAATGTCAGATTCTGTTAATTCGATTTTTGAAGGATTAAGCCTCAAATTCCCAATTTCTGTATAAATTCTTATGTCTTAAATTTAAATTATAATTGAAGGTTTATGTAGAAATGTAATTATTTTCCCCTCGATATACACAGAAATGCGCTCACTGTTTGTGAATGAAGACTGTTGGCTATGAAAAATGTTTGTTATGCTGTCTATTGTATGATTACACCATTAAACTGAGTGTGATTACATGCACAAACTTAAACTGATTATTCTTAATAATCAGACAATGCGCACGATCATGTAAATACCTTAAAACAGTCCTTTCCCAATAGAAGAACTGAGTTTAAGAAAAACCTGATTGCCGTATCTAGATTTTTGCCTAAGACTGTTTTCACAACTGCATTTAAACACCTTTAACGCTCGTCTGGCGACTCATTTTGTGCTCACGTCTGTTTACATTTTGATGTCAAAAAAGGAGAAAAATCCTTTAATATCATAAAGGGGGTTTGTTGTGCATGTAAACGAACACAATGTTTCTTGGGCAGCAAAATGTTAGATGGTGTTTAACAGAAACTTCAGTGCAATCAGCACTCTAAGAGATGAGTTTGTACACTGAGATCTCTGTATTTATGACATACAGTCTGTTGCAAAAGTGCTCAAGTAGGAGCTTTCATGTTCTTCCAGGCCGGTTGTTGACTCTGGCTTGAGTCGTGTCTTTCTGCTGGGACTCCACTGGTTCTTGTCATTTTTGACACATGCCAGACAGATGGAGCAGTCCTGGCACTGCCTCTATAACAAAGTTCGGCACTTTGTCACACTCCTGACCCCCAAGTGGCATGTCTGGCCATCTAAAGAGCACCTGGATGTCTGATTCACTGTGAGTAACACCAACAATCTATGGAGACGTTGAGGGGGTGGAGCAAAGCTTTGACTTGTTTTATTCTTGTGCCTTAATGTTTGTTTTGTATTTGTAACCGTGAGTCATGCAGCAGTCTGTCTGGTACAACCCATATTCACTTTCTACAACATCATGGGTGTTTGACCGAAATATATATAGTTGGGCTGAAGTCGCTATTTTGTGGTTTCAATTACAACATGATTAACCAAATTTGTAGGGCTGGTGGTGTATTTGTTTGTCTAGTGGTATGTGTCCTGATTTAGCTCTTTAGCTACTGCGGTTTTGTTATTGTTCCGTGGCACTCTCTCGCTTTAGCAGAGATGGGTGATTTAGATTGTTATGTTCAGGTGCTGGAACCTGCAAGTCTGTTCAGTGTTTCTATACCGAACTGCTTGTAAGTTTTGACGATACAATTCACTTCTGTCAGTTGCTTAAACTGTGGCGTTCTCTGGTCACACGCACATTCTCCCGTTGTCCCAATAGGAAGTACATCCCGACCGTAGTCTTTTCCACCTCTCTTTTTTTTTTTTTTTTTTGTAAAGTGCATTCCTACATGACATCTTGCATGTCTGGAGTTGTACAATAACAGGACGTAGGATCATGGGCAATCATGTGTGAAATACAGAAACTTTATATGGAAAAGTAGTCTGTTTAGTGAGCAAGAACAAGGATGAAAATATTTCCGGAGTCATTCTAGCTATACAAATATAACAATGACTCCCTGGACAATATAGATAACCAATTTCTAGGTCAGGGTTTGCCCACCTGAGGTTTATGAGCCTGTAGGGGTGTATGATGAAACTACAGGTGGCTGGTAAGATTGTGATTAAAATGCTTATGTAAAACGAATCAAATAAATAATGAATATGTTTACATATTAAAATAATCACTTTATTCTCATCTTAAATTCAAGTTATGTTTATTATAAATTAATTACTGTTATTGACAGGTTGGAACATTACTTGAAACTCAGGGTATACTTTAAATAAGTAATTTAGATAATAAGGTTAGTTAAACAAGAAATTTTCCCACCCCTGCAAGCACGGTATAGGACAATAAGTCTGATTGTTCTATATTGAATACATTTTACTTCTTACTCTGTCCCAACCACTCCTGTAGCATCACGTTACCCATGGACAACTACCATTAATCCTATAATTTGTTGGAAGCTGGGTAAGATTTGTTAGTGGAGTCCATTGTATCTAGAAAATTGTACAAGAATTACTTGCCATGCAATCACGGCGGCAGCCCGGAGGTTAAGCAATATCTAGATGGCATTAAAGGAAGCATTGACAAAAAAGCCTTTTAAGTTATGTCCAATTTGCTCATGGAAATGTGCCACTACTAATTCACTCTCTGGCACATCCCCTTATAAGGCCGAAGTCAGGCTTTCCACATCACTGTATACCCCATATACTGATTATTGAGGTTTGAACAGGTATTTGAGTTCAGAATATTCCAATACTGCATATGTTCATTGTGGAAATGGGTGCTTCAGAGACCCAAGTGTACTATCTGACCTGGTCAAATTACACTTGTTGAATTTTAAGAAACTTGTTCCTACAGACCATAATTGTGAGGTGGTGAATTGGGCAATGCTCACTGAAGAGTGCATTCAGAAATTGTAGAAACTAGCTGGATGAAGCTTCCTCCTGCTGACAAATCATGGGAACCTTGAGTATATAAAGGTTGCCAAGAGGTAAAACCCAAACAAGCAAGTGACTCTATTTTGTACCCTTTTAAACATCACTTTAACATCAAATAATAGAAAGGCACAGGTACTTTTTCTAGGCAATTTGAGGGGCAGACAGGGAAAACTGTTTCAAAACTGTCATTGTTTTTACAATTCTGTTTGGTGCGGCACAGAAATTACACACTTGAGGGTGAAGTGTGTAATTTCTGCTGTGATTCTATGGTGATGTTGTGTAAATCCTCCCACTTTCATTGCATCTCTTTTCATTCTGCTGATACACATTTTTCTCTCTCTCTCCCTGCGGTTGGCTTTGGCCTATCCTAGGCAGGAACAGTGGACACTGGACAGTGGACATGAGACTCTGGTCAAGACATCCTGGCTCCAGGGCCTCTGCACAGTCTGTATGAAACCTGGAATGTGAATATGAGTGCATGTAAATGTGAGAGGACACACACAGAGGTATCATTTCCCCAAGACCTCACACAGTGACAACAACTATTTATTACCAATAACCTTCCTGGTGCCTCTGAGTATGCTGAATAATGGAGTGGTGAATTACCTTTATAGCAAGATGATCAATCAATGGCAATGGCAGCCTCCTATGTTTGGTAATCATCACTTCCTCTTAAAGACGTGTACATTACATGTAAATCAACAGCATACAGTGGCCCCAAAAATTATTTGGACACTTTTAGACACTTACCGGTAAGCCACACTTAAAAATGTCTCAATTTGACTGCATTAGACACACATTTTCAAACCAAATGACTTGTGCAAACAAATGACGCTAGAGTTTTTTTAAAACTTTTTTTTATTACTTTTTTCCCTTTTGTCCAAATTTTTTTCAACCAACAGGTCTCAAAGTCATTTTGTGTGTGTGTGGATAATTTTATGTCAGTCCCCTTTAAGTTCACATGAACAGGTTTTTTTTAACCTTTTTTTACCATTTTGAACATCTGCATCTCCAATTTGTGACATTTTTCCACTGAAAAATGTGTTTGTGCAATGTATTTTGGAAAAAAAGCACCTTGTTTTGATTTTGTACATAATAATGCAAAGACATTTAAACATTCTTAATTGTGACTTTAGTGTCCACTTTTTGTGGCCACTGTATCCATACACATACAAAGATGCATGATGACGCTATTTAAGGAAGCTGTATTGTGACACATTGCATTCACTTCTGAGAAGTCCTGTTAAAAGAGACAGAAAAAATGGAGGAGGGAAATATGTGGCGATGTCTTGGATTGCACACGGCCTCTCAGGATTTGCGTCAGTGGCCAGTTTCATCCGTTTTGGAGCCGTGTGGTATCTGGAGGCTTAATCCTGAGCTAAGGCTCATCTTGTGCTCTCATTCACCACAAGTGCCTTCTTTAGAATCTGTAAATATTAGCTCAAGATTATTTTAGAAATAAAATAATTTTATGAAAGGAAGCCACTGCCAGTGATAAGGAATCTATTTAAATGTATAGCTGCTGGCATTGGGGTTTATTTATTATTTGCGCAGCAAGCAAAACTGACTCGGTTAAAGCATTCCTGTGGATATCTAAATTCAGAATGGACATGAGGTCCTTCAGAAGTTAAAGGTGAAGTGAGCAAATTCTGCA